ATGCCACTTTTTTAAGACCAAGTACTTTCCCTCAGGTACTCGCCGATACCAATTACCGATACTTTTTCTTAAAGGCACATGTGACATTTTTTCTAAAACAATACAGACTAATGATTTTAGGGCAGTTTCTCACCAGAGCGAAATATAGATGTCACCAGAGCTAAATACATGTCACCAGAGCTAAATAAAGATGTCACCAGAGCTAAATACAGATGTCACCAGAGCTAAATACATGTCATGAGAACTGATACATGTCCCTAGAGCAGAATACATGTCCCCAAAGCAAAATACATGTCCCAAAAGCAGAATACATGTCCCCAAAGCAGGATACATATCCCCAGAACAGAATTAATCTCACCAGGCTGCATGCTGATCTCACCTGAGCAACATGTGGTTCACTGCAGGGCTCTGCGGGCAGTTTCTATGCTGTGGAGAGTGCCGATGTCGGGGGCTGTACTGTCCTGTGTGTGGAGCTGCCCATGGCTGTGCCTGCGCCGAGAAGGAGGAAATGTAGAACCGGACAGGTACTGTCATTGACAGCCACTTGAAGGTCCCCAGCAGGCTGCCGAGGTCCCCCACAAGCACGGGAACTCAGACAGCCACTGCGGTTTAAAAATTTAAAGGGCCGGTATCAGCCTTAAGAATTGGGGCATTTTCACGAATACAAGTACTTGTGAAAATGCCTGGTATCAGCGCCGATACCAATACTAGTATGGGTATCGGGTAGGGTTGCCACCTTTTCTTCAAGCAAAACCCGAACACTCAAGCGACGTGCGGACATTTTTATGGGGAGAATGAGTGGTGGCTTATTCATTTGTAAATAATGCCACCCATTCATATGTAAATATCACAGTTGAGACTATTTTCAGTGGGGGGCCAGTAGCCCCTATCTTAATTTTGGTTGCCCCTGTCTGCCTGACATCTTGTGTCCGGGTTTCTGCTGCCATGAAACCCAGCATTCAAAACCCGGACTGTCCGGGTGAATCCGGGACAGGTGGCAACCCTGGTATCGGGACATCCCTATTTTCTATCTAAATCAGAGCATTCATTATTTTCAAAACCTATAATCATATTAAAGAAGTGAGTGATTTGTAGCCACAACAACACCTTCTTCCAAGACATAGTTTAGCATCACATGTGCTGCAGACAGAGAGCTCCATGTCTACTATGATACTAGCAATAGTGCCCATTGTAGCTGTGCTATATGTTATGTTCTCTGAACTGTTCAACTCTGTATACTGTGTACTGTATACTGTATGCTGTGTTGGGGGTGACATAATCCAGACTGCTCTAAACTGTATGCTGTGCAGCACATTACATACCTGACACCTGTTAATCTAAATGCTGTGATATTCATTATATACACCATACTGCTGCTAATCATCACGGCATTGTCTTAGGGAATGTTTTGAGGTAAAAAATACCCATTACTATTCCTGGATTCCGCCCCATTGAATGACGTTTGACAATTTAAACTCCCCTCAGATAAGCTGGCACCATCTTATCTGTCAACTTATTAGCTTGGCAGAGTTAAGCGTCCAAGTTTGAGGGACATTCTGGAATGCTTGGGAAAGTTTCTTGCCCTGAGGGTTTTTGATTTGTGCCTTGGAGTCTGATCAGCTTCTAAATTCTATAGGCTGCCATGTATCAAAATGAAAGGGCTGACATATTAGCAAGATGGATAAGGCTGGATGTGTCATTCTGATGTAAAAATTATACAGAAGTACCATGAAGTAGATAAAGATATTGACCACTAAAGCTGGGTATACACAGGACGAATTCCGTCCACCTCATGAACTGGCTGAAATTCGCACTGCGGGTGCAGCTGCTTCTGTCTGGCATCCCTTGATCAGCTGATCCATGAAACCAGATGGAAAATTCTCAGCCTAACAGGGCTTGCAGCCACTAGCTGCTAGATCCATTTGGGTATTCTGATCGTGGCCGGTGGCTGCTGTCAAAATACAATGCAAACAGCGGGAGATTGGTCCATCAACACTTGTGTCGATGGAGGAATCTGTTCTATTTTTTTTGTTTAGACCGAGGAATGAATGAAAAAAAAAAATAGACACATGTATACGCGGCTTAAGAGTTCCCCTTCCATCTACACAGTTCAGGTTGCCATATTGGCTCTAGACACATTGTAGAACACTTGCCTAGTGAAGCTGGTTACAGTTGGAGCAGGGAGCAATCAATCAGGGCACACATGCCCTGGCTGAGTCTTCTTGGGGAGGAGAGTCAGTCAACTGGTTTTTGTTTTCTTTTTGAAGATTGTTACTGGTTTCCAGCAGGGGCCCCCACTTCCTTTTACTCCATAGGCATAAACAAGCTTGTTCAAATGATGTAAATGTGCACATTTGTAGAATTGTTGCTTGTAGGAAAGATCTTTCTGTGGCTGGATAGTGAATCTAATGCCAGCCTCCCAAGCTAGGGGCCCTGTACCTACTATAAGTAGGTGATGTCCTTGATCCCCTCACACTGAAAGTTTGATGGTGCTGCGCCTTCAGGGGCCCCAACCACAAGCTCTAAAAGTGGACCCCCCCTCCACTTTTATTTAAATAGACATGGGTACCCTGACTTTGTGGATATGGGCTTCCACACCAATAGGGGCTTGAGACCTCAAATTTGGGAAGCCTGTAGGGGAAGGTTGGCATTACTACCACAAATTTGGTGGTCCTTCTGCATCTACTGTTTTGACAAAATAGCCTATTTTCTGAGGTGTGGTGCTCAGGCCCAAGACAGGCTAAAGACCCATACATATTGCTGAAGGTAGTGGGGGCCTTGTCTCTTAGCAGTGCAATTTAGGTGGGATTGGGCCCTTGGGTTCCTAACTATGAACTCGCAAAGCAGACCACCCCCACATATTTTTAATACACTATAATAGGATGTTGCTAATATCCCTAAATGGTCTTATGAACAGAAAAGCATGGCCTCAATAAAATGTGTATATAAAAAAAAAAAATGATCAAATAGCCAAGGTCAAAAGAAACTGATACACTTAGTATAACATGCGACTGGTACACTTGGTGAGCATGTGACTCAATGTGACAGCGCTGGGCCAATTGGTGCTGTCACATAGGGAATCCATAGCCTTGTGTAAGCAGCAACTTTGGTGATTTATAGTTGATGGAGAACTTTCCTTCTCTTCCATTGGCTGAACAGAGCATCTGAAGAGCGAAAGGAAGGTCATAATGGGAGTCTGTGAAGGTTTGAATTACAGTGGACCTGTCTCTGTGCTCCTTTAGGGCAAAGTGACAGGGTCTCTTGATAGCCCAACTCCCCCAATCATCGATACTTTCCTCCCTTGGAACAAGTATACAACAGCTCCGGGTGTCCAAGGAGGTCTGAAATAAAGTGAACCTCGTTTAGAGCAAACCTCTAAAGTGAACCTCATTTAGCACAAAGTGACAGGCTCTCTTGATATGCCAGCTCCCCCGTTCAATGATACTTATCTTCCCCTTCCCCATATACACTGAGTGGCCAGATTATTATGACCACCCCATCAGTACTTCGTTGGGCCACGGGATAACTCCACGAGATGACTTTGTTGGGCCGCCTCGTGACTCCCCGAGATGTTGAAAGGTGATGCGAGGAATCTGACACTGCACTGTTGCCCTTCTGTTGTCTTGTACCAGTCTTGCCACTCTCCGTTCTGCCCTAACATTGACTAGTCGCTGACGGCCACAATTCGCACGTTCAGACCCAGATTTTCGGCTGACAGTCCAGTCTTTAAACACTTTAAAAACAGCTGCTCTTGAACATTTAACGAATTCTGTTGTTTTGCTGATACTCGCTCCATGGCTCCGAGCGCCAACAATCATCCCATGTTCAAAGGCTGTTAAATCGCGTTGTTTACCCGTATCTTCAGAAAAAAATCACTTCTACTGTCGTGGTAAACAACCTGCTTCCTATTTATAATGGTCTGGCCCTCTAGCAACTTCAGCGCAAAATTATAGCTAATTTGCCTACAAACGTCAGGTGGTCATAATAATCTGGCCACTCAGTGTAAGTAAAGTGACAAGTTTCTTTAAAAGGAAACCTTAACTAATGCAATATAGTGTATACTGTCCTTGCTGAAATCATGTTGATGCCATCATGCTGATCCAATGGCTGTAATAACTTTTGATGAAGAGTCTTGGAACAAGTATACAACGACTCTAAGGACTTGTAGTTTACACAGGACTTTCCTTCTCTTCCAGTGGCTTCTTGATAGCGAAATTAAGGAATGTATAGGAGTCTGTGGTGAAGTAGATATATGCCCCATGATTTAAAAAAATGAAAAGTGAGGCAAATACTTAATTATTTATCTGTTCCAGCGCCGCTCACTCCCAGCTGAAGAACTCCTGGCTCGCGAACGGCTGTGAAGGACGAAGAGCAGTAATGCAGCGGGGGAGAAAAAACAACTACAGTGAATGGGTGCAGCCGGATAGACACTGTGGGACAAAAGGGATCTGCGGTGGATCAGAGAACGGCACCAGCGCTGGAGGGACTGTTGGAAACGAGTGGAAGGAAGAAGATGATCGCAGCAAGAGGTATCAAATATGGTAAGTGGTTACAGAAGTATTGGGGGGGCGGGGGGGGGGACAGAGAGTTTAATGTCACTTTAAGTAAGTCAATAAGAGGGATGACTTAAAGCCCATTTCCACCTTTGCAGATGTATTTTTTTTTTTAACATATGCCAGCAATGTTCACCGAGTGTTCATGAAGCAGGCATATGCAGCTGATGTATATGAAACCAGAAATTTACATTTTTTGTTAGCTTTCCTCTTCATATCAACATGAAAATTTCCGCCTCTGTGCTGTGCAAGAAATGTGTGTTATCTCCTCCCCCTCTCCGGACAGTGTATTGTGTCTAAAGGCAGAGCTGGTGTTTACTGATCCTGTTACCATGGGGGACAGGGAGGTGGGCAGCTGATAACAGTCTGACACCCTGATTTTACTATGGAGAAAAAGTTTAAGGCTTCAGGCCTAATAAAACTTTAATTAAAAAAATGAACAAAGCCTGCAATGTGAGTCATGAAAATTTGCACTTGTTTGCATCATCACTGCATCTCTTCATTACCACAATAAACGCAAATAACTTACAAAGGTGTAAATGGACTTAAAACTCCAAAGTATGGCTATACACAAAGCGTTACTGTACACAAGGCTGTGCATGGATGAAATAGGACCCCCTGATACAGAGGCCCCCTATGGCAAAGACAGAAATGTAACATAACTATTGTAATGTCTGGCCTCTGGTCTCAGTTTCAGTGCAGAGTGTGAATGGATTAGCGAGTATCTGTATTTCTTCCTGAGCACTTTCTACATGTTTCTGGTCTTTCTGAAAACAAGCCTCTCCACTCTCAGGTTCCTTGTTAGCAGAGGTGAGAGGTCAACAGTCGGTGATAAGGTTTTTATCAGCAGAGTGCACTGCTGGACCCAGGGCCTGAAGGTCTTCTAGTTCTCAGAGTTTAAGATTCCTAACAAAACAATATCCAGGCCTGGAGAGAAGGGTGTGAGGGTGACAGTGTCACTGTGTGCCCGGGGGAAAGGCAGACCAGGCCTGCATCCAAGAGTGCAAGAACAATGTTTTCTTTAAATTGAGAGCCCCAAGAGAAGAGTCTATTGTGATGAAATGGTCTAGAGCAGCATTCCTCAACCTTTTTCAGTTACAGTATTCTTCAAAAGTAAAATCTCGAGGCACCCCAGTCTGACATAAGAAAAACTTAAATGTAAAAAAAACAATGCGTGGTCCCCCCAAAATCCATCCCAGACCCTTATCTTAGATAGGAGTCTGATATGGATTTTAAGGGGGGACCCTATGCAAAAACAAAGTGTTGGGGTGGGGGGTTTCCCCATTCAGATCACAGTTCCCCTTTCCCAACAGAGTCCCCCCATCCCACCAGAAGAACCCCTTTTACATTTGGTTCCTCCTTTCCCATTAGTGCCCTGCCTGCACTATTGAAACTCATGACGCTGTGCAATAATTTCAGGTACCCCTGACAAAGCCAAGTAGCACCATGGTTGACAAAGTCTAGTATAGAGCATCCTTTCTCAACCAGAGTGCCGTGGAATCCTTGGGTGCCTTCTGGCTTCCTCAGGGGTGCCTTGCAATTTTCACACAGTGCCATGCCTCTGATGTGAAAGAGGGGGACTCAGATGTGAAGGGGGGCTTGTGATTTAAAGAGGGTCTCCTAGTGTAAAAGGGGGACTCTTATGTGAAAGGAGGAATTCTGTGTTTTTGTGTGGGATCCCCCCCCCTTAAAATTCATACCAGACCCCTATCTGGGATAAGGGTCTGGTATGGATTTTGGAGGGACCCCATGTCATTTTTTACATTTTAGACTAGGGCGCCTCAATATAATTTTTACTTTTAAAGGGTGCCATGGCTCAAGAAAGGTTGATAAAGGCTGGTCTAGAGTATAGCTCGTTATACTATACTATACTATATACTCTTACAGGTATGTTACTTATTTATCAATTCATCTATATAACACTGACAATTTGCAGATGAAAACAAGGTCAGTGAGACGGCAACCCGCAGATGCTGCAGTGCCGTCCGTTCGTTTTTTTTACTACGGGCGGACAGCAAGAGGTTAAAGTGCAGCAAATAGATTATTGTCCGTATTAGAGTATAAAATGTGCACTAGGGCAAACATTAAAGCCGAACACAAAAACCTTCTTTCAAATATATTCCTTTATAGCCATGGTGGATAAAAATCATCTTTGCGTGCACAAAATGCCTTTGCAATCCCAGATATAGCTTTGTAACAGTAGTGGTGACATCATCACTATACTGCACATAGCCTGTGCAGTGTAGAGTGCAGAGCTGTGGGAGGGACCCAGCAGGCTCCACCCACTACAGGCTTCCTACAGAAAGCTACAGGAGGGGGCGGAGACAAGACCAGTCACTCTGCACAGGGAGAGAGAGCAGCAGTGACCAGTCCTTATTACAGGAGGGGGCGGAGACAAGACCAGCCGCTCTGCACATGGAGAGAGAGACACATGGAGGCAGGGGGCTTGCTTGAAGGCGTGGAGGGGTATCAGGTCTCCCTGACTTGCAGGAGTCTCTCTCCGGGTGTGTGGCTGTCTGTCTCTTATCACACGAGATTTTTATTCTTTAAGATTTTTTAAAAATGGCTGCGTGCATAGGTGACGGGTTGTGCCTCTAGGCCTTCTCTGCTGCTTGATGTAAATAGTTGGTGGATCTTTAAGCGTGAGGTTGTTTATGCAGCAATGAGGCTTTGCCTGTCTCTATATATCTGCACAAGGAGAGAGAGCAGCAGTGAGCGGTCTTTATTACAGGAAGCTCCAAGTCTCACACTGGATTACTGCACAGATCTGGGAGAAATACACAAAGCTCACCAAGATTTGAAGAAGAAGTCGCTATATTCTATTTCTTGCTAAAGGATAAGAGCAAAATAGTATGGGGCAGCACGGTGGCGTAGTGGTTAGCGCTTCTGCCTTGGAGTACTGGGGGTATTCGAATCCTGGCCAGGTCGCTATCTGCAAGGAGTTTGCATGTTCTCCCTGGGCTTGCATGGGCTTCCTTTGCGTACTCCAGTTTCCTCCCACATTCCAAAGACATGCTTGTAGCTTAATTGGCTCCTGTCTAAATCGGCCCTGTGTTTATGTGAGATAGGGACCTTAGATTGTAAGCTCCTTGGGGGCAGGGACTGATGTGAATGTGCACTATGTAAAGCGCTGTGTAAATTGTCACAGGGCCGGCCTTAGGGCTTTAGGCGCCCTGTGCGAGAAAGCTTTACAGCGCCCCTCAGTGACCACACCCCTCAGTGGTCACACGCTTTAGTGGCCACACCCCCAGTAACCACACCCATTTTCCCAATATCCGCACCATTTAAAGACTCCTATTTTGTTAAGCCGCAAAGAAACATATTAAAAAGTATGATAAAAATAAAACTTTTATTCAAAGGTATTAAACTTGTCGGTACAATATAAGTATTCTTATCAAATAAAACAACAGAAGGTAAACAATAAATGTCAAACTACAATAGAGTCTATAAAAAAAAGTGTCAGGTGCCGACACCTTTTTTTCAAGTAAGCGCATCTAGAAAAGTAAAAATAGAAAACAGAACACAAAACCCGACTACATGTAAAATTAATGAATTACTATATGCTTGAATATACGAAAAATGTATTCAGGCACATAATAATTTATTTGAGAATGTGCGGCGGCCATGTTGGAAACAGAGAGCATGACGTTACATGACGCCATGCATGCGTGGCGTCAGGTGACGTCACACGCTGATATTGGCCCCACCATCTTGGTATGTACCTAGATATACACCAAGATGGCGGTCACCCAACACGTGCGGTGTTTTGTTTGATTAAACGAGTGAAACGTTTTTAGTTTTCATATTAAATACATTTTTAGTCTTCGCAAATGTCTAATAATATGTGTGATGGGGGGCAGTTTTCACTTTTTGCAAATAATTTTTTTAATTTTTTAATTTTTAATAATTTTTTCTTTTTTACTGTCACCGAGGACGAGCTGTGTCGGCCCCCTGGCGCCTTTGTTGCCATGGCGCCCTGTGCGGCCGCACAGCTCGTACACCCCTAAGGCCGGCCCGGATTGTCAGCGTTATATGAATACCAATAATAAATAAATTATGTTAGTCCAGGGACTTGGCACAATCAAAGTACCAGGCCCAGTAGCATTTGGTGTTTGTTGCACTCCCAGCAAACAGCTAAATACATAAATATATATACACAACTGATTGGCTCCTTGTGCTGCTTTCCCCTCTCCCGGTCCGGGCTCAGCTGTACAGGGAACTGCAAGAGGCTGATACCAGGTCAAATTTGGGCATTTACGCTGTTTACATTTAAAAAAAATATGTTTAATGATGTGATAATGAATATAGAGCTATATATTTTGGGAGCGATGTGGCAGCACCTCAGCAGAAGAACATGGAACACCTAGCACAGATGCCACGTGCCCCAGAAAGTTACCCATTTTGGTAGCTGTGGTAATGCTATGGGTAATATACAGCACACTACACCATTAATGTGGCATATAAGGCACCACATACCATCAACATAGATACAGGGTTATTCACAAAAGGGTGAAGAGTTTGGAGAAGGCAGGAGAAGTGAACATTCTAGGACAACATAGCTGAAGTGGAAAGTGAGCTGAATCTGAGAATTTTTCGAAATCAGCTTTTTTGGCCTAAATTGTTCTCCAAACTCTTCGCCCTTTAGTGAATAAGAAGAAGAAATGCTAAATGTATACATATAAAATGTATTCTAATGCTATGGGTAATATGGTGGAAATGGAGTTGCAGGGTATAGGCCGCCAGTCAGATTCAGATTTCAGGGAAAGCCTCATTCTGATTGTTGGCTGGGGGTTCACAATGAGGTGGACCTCTGATAATTCTAACAGGTTATAATCAGTGAACCAGCTTCCCGTGTTTTCCAGGCAATCAGCGTCGAGCCGGCTGTTCGGCCAATCAGGAAGCCTGGCGGCGAGTAATAACCGTCTCCCGGCTTTCTGATTGGCCTAGAAGCCAGCTCGATGCTGATTGGCTGGAAAGCCGGTTTCTTGGCCAAGCACTGTCAAGCCGGCCAGACAACATGGAGTCAGCTTCTCGGGCAATCAGATTGCCTGTGAAGCCGGTTTCATCCCAGCGGAAGCACCGGCATCGTTACTCGGTATCGACGAGTACCAAAAGCAAAGTATCGGTACTCGTACTCGATACCGAAAAAACGGTATCGGTGCATCCCTAGTAAATAGAACCTTTTCATAAATATCTGTACATCAAACCAAAAAGAGGGACAACTAAGAAGGAAAGACGGACAGAGGGATTTGGTTCCAAAGTAGGGACAGTTCCTCCAAATGAGGGACTGTTGGTTATGGTTGAGCCAATTTTTTTAGGTTTGTTTGGTGTCATCTACTGTAGTATCTGTAATGTAGATGTTGCTGGATCTTCTCTCCAAGCTCATTTCTGATATCACTGGGCGCTGGAGTCCTGGAAGCCTTTGTGTGCCTCAGTAATCTGATTTGCCATTACTGATGTTATTTCTAGTTTTGACCCTAACCTGTCTCTGGAATCTGTGATATGTCTGATGGCTGTCTGTCCTCTCCATTGCCCAACTGCTTG